GACACATCTACATGCATAGACCATATATTTATTAAGCGAAAACATGTAGGAAATGTAAGTGTTAAATCGTATATATTAACGTGTAGTATGACAGATCATTATGCTACAACGGCTATTTTTTATAGAAACACATCTACTCCAATACACAAAAAAACGAAGGGTTTCACACAATCAAAAAAATAAATACAGAAAAATTATTAACATTAATAGAAAATGAAAACTGGACAAATGTCATTGCAGCACAGGACGCCCAAGTAGCAACAGACATTCTTACAGACACTTTTCAGCGTTTAATAAACGAATGCACGGTAATAAAAAATATTCAGAAAAAAAAGTATAAAAAAAATAAAGCCATGGATTACTGAAGGTCTTACAAGGTCCATTATCATAAGAGATAAATTAAAAAAACGGTTGTGTAAAAAATTTTCGATAGCTTTAGAGGATCAATTTAAAACTTACTGGAATTTTCTAAATGTCCTTTTAAAAAAATGTAAACATAACTACTATATAGGCATAATAACACAAAATCAAAATAACATGAAAAAAATATATCAAGTCATTTCTGACGCAACAAATGAAAAATCTGAAAAAAAGTACAAGCAGCTTAGATATATTCAATGATAATACAATAGTAATACAGAAATGGCAAATTTTTGTAATGAATATTGCACTAGTATAGGCACTAAAATGATTGAAAAAATAAATATACGCCACAATTTATATAATACTCCCATTAATAATACCTCTTTATTTTTAACTCCTGTTACAGAAAATGAAATATACCTCCACATCAATTCATTAAAAAGTGCACCTGGGTATGATGGAATTACCCCATTTTTGTTAAAACTAACTGTGAGATACATTGTACACCCTCTAAGTCATATCATTAACTTAATATTCAGTAATGGAAAATTCCCCAAACAATTTAAAAACTCTGTGATAACTCCTATCTACAAAGCGGGTGAAAATTTCAAACTATCGCCCAATTAGTTTAATCAATAACTTTGGAAAAATTACTGAAAAATGTCTAAAAATACGTTTAATACATTTTTTAAATAATAACAAAATATTAAGTGAATATCAGTACGGTTTCCGAGAAGGTAAAAACACGTCAGATGCCATGTATGAGGTTATTAATGAAGTTTCAATCAATCTTGATAACAGTAAAAAATGTATCGCAGCATTCCTAAATTTAGCTAAGGTTTTCGACACAGTACATAATGGCAAATGATTACAAGTATTAGAGCGGTATGGAATCCGTGGTACTGTGTTAAGTCTATTTAAAGATTATTTAAATGATCGTTCACAATATGTAAGTCAATGTTTGTCTAAGTGAACCGCTACTGGTGAAAGTGGGTGTGCCGCAAGGGGCAGTCCTAGGGCCTATACTTTTCACAATTTAATAAATTCTCTATTATCACTAGACATAATAGCAAAGTAGTATCATATGCCGATGACACTGTTGCCATATTTAGTGGCTATGATTGGGACAATACTAAACAAAGCGTTCAAGAAGGTATGAATGGTATAAAGATGTGGTTGGATGGGTATCAGCTGTCTTTAAATGCAGATAAGACCAATTATATAGCATTTACCATTACAGATATAAAAGAAATTGAAAATACTAAATATTTAGGAATTATTACAGATAAAAATATAAAATGGAATCAACATATAGCATATTTAACAAAACATTAGTGGAATCACTTTTAAGATATGGAATTCTGGTTTGGGGAGCATTATATCATAATTCATTTAAAGCCTTGTCTACAATCCAAAGTTATGTACTGAAAATTATTTACAAAAAAAATAGGCGATACTCAACCAGACTACTTTATGAAAGAGATATATACAACATCAGAATGCTGTACTTTCATACATTGGTAACATTTATGCATAAAAAAGAACATTTTAAAACTAATATCTCTCATAATATTGTGACTCGTAGCATAACAAATAAATTGCTGAAAGTACCTAACTCCAATAAAAATGTACATACAAAATTTGCTTACCATCTAGCCTCAAAGACTTACAATTTATTACCATTAAGTATTAGGAAGATTAAAAACTACAAAAAATGTTCACTTCAATCTAAGATAATTATAAATGACAATTATTTATCTTTTATAAAACTAATAGACTAATTTACTTTATTTCTAATTTAAAATTTATTTAATATAGTATAGGAAAGATATCAAACTTGTTGAATTAAAAAAAAAAAAAAAAAAAATACGTTAAATACGTTCTGCACAAAACAAGTTTTAAATCACTTAGGTGCAATTCTATAGAAAATAAAAAAAAATAGTATAAGTATTACCAGTGACGTGATTTATTTAAACACAATTTCACTTAAAATAACAAATATTGTAAGTTATTTCTATTTTAAATGTAAACATTTTGCAATGGTTTATTTTATATATCCTCAATCTATTATATATAATTTAAATTAATTTTATTGTTAATACTTAGGATTTTATTATTATTTGTAATGTGTATCTTAAATTGTTGTACTACGTTTTAATGGGCTATGACCCATAAATAAATAAATAAATATTGTGTGACTAAAAAAATGATGTAAGACATAATATTGTATGTCTTTTTGTCAACAAGAAAAACCTAATATTTACAGCAAAAATATACTGTTTGTTTTTATAGAAACTTAATAGATACAGTTAGGTAATTTTAAGCAGTAAACTACATAGGGAAAATTGTAGATATATTGGCTCAAACCTTCTACAAAGATACACCTATCCCATTGTTATGTGAAATATTGTCATAAGTGTTGTGTCACTACATTAATCAAAGATAGTGGCAGTGTCATTTTAGTAACTAACCATTCTGTCAACTGAATTATAGGGGAGAACGTCATTTTTCGATATGTCATATATTGAGACATCTGCAGCTCTTTACATCACACTATGAATTGATTTTTTTAAATATCACTAGCTATGTGACTATAAAGAATACAAGTATCATTGTTGCCATAAAAGAGAGTAGCAAATATACAGAAGGAATAAACTGAGCCCCAACATAGAACCCTGAGGTACTCTAACTTACATTTAAGACTTAAGAGTTCTCAGTAGCTGCTAAGATAGTTAAGAAGATTGAAATGGATATTCATTTTAAGTCATTAGTATGGCATTGTACAATTTAAATAATAATATTACCTAAATAGGAACAAATCAAGACAATCTTATTAGAATAAGCAATGTCAAAACTTAACTTGAACTGAAAAAAATTAACACTTTTATGATATCAGATGAATTAATTAATAAATTAAATGTTTTATCTAATGATGGTGTTCAAACTGTTTGCCTTCAGTTTTATTCCAAAAAAAATTACCCAGGATTGTAAAACAAAATTTTTGAGCATATATTAAAAAATTAAATTAAAATTTTCCCAAGAGCAACTGCTTAATGTTTACAATTTTTTTAGCCAATTCTCATATCTTATACAATATCATTGTTTGTGGTGATGCAGTCGATGTATATAAAGTATTCATCTTAAAGAACAAAATAAATCTATTTTATTTTTAATTAAGAATTAAAGCAAACTTGTAAATATAAACATTTACAGTCAAAAAACTTAAAAACCATTTAGCTGTCATGTTTTTCTAATTCAATGTTTTTAATGTGTATGTCTTAGATGTTTTTTTTTGTATCCTGTATCTACTTATATTTGTCCCTATTTAATACTCTTTATTCATATATTACTTCAAGGAACAAAAAATATTGACACTCCCATCTCTTTATATATTAGAATGTTTATTATATGTAAAAACAAATAAAATAAATCCTATACTACTAGGAGATACCCATGAGCACAACACTCGGTCAAGAGAACAATTGTTATTACCACAACACCGACTAACATTAACTGATAAAAGCTTTATATGCAACTCTATTAAACTATATAATAAACTTCCCCCACAGTTTAAGCTTTTTAATGAATATAAATTCAAAAAAAAAGATCAAGGAATTATTATTTTATCTAGCAGTTTATTCAATCAAAGAATTTTATGAGGCTGATTTAAGTAATTTTGCAACACGAAAAATTTCTTAACTAAAATGTCAAGTTGACGTCACCAAATTGTTTTCTATATAAATATAAAATGTAATGTATGTATAAATTTTATTGTTTTATGATATTTGACGATGCTAAAAACTGCTGTGAGTTTATTTAAGCAAATAAAGTATGTTCTATTCTACTTATCCTGTATCATATAACACAATCTTAAACATCAAATAAACTATTATTATTAATCTGAGCATTCTTAATTGAAAAACCCTTTATTTAAGATAGCTATTATCAGATGACTCATTAGTTTTTAAAATGGCAATAGAAAATTTATCTATTTAAGTATGTACCTAAGGCTAATTCTCAAAAAAAGTCGAAAATGGCTTTAAAAAACTTGTCAAATTATTTTTAACAAAACATATTTTCTTCAACCCTCTGCTCTAGTGTATGTTATCGAGGCCAATGTTGCTAACTACAAAAAAACTTGAAGTGGGGCTTGGTAGGCCTTTTAATTTCGCTTCAAGCACACTGTTTCAAAACGGTGAAGGAATGATAAGATTTTTTAAGGACAAATTTTGAATTATATTTAAAAATATTTCCATTAGCATTTTTTAAACTATGAACTCATGTAGGTACCGTCAATACTATCCTATATGAGTAAAAAATAAGATAACAAACAATTAGTAAGGAATTTTACGTTTTAGGTCAATAATTATCTTAGAATTAAGCAGTTGGGACATAGTGAGGGAATGATTTTCAGGGTACTTTCTTGGACATATCTTTTTTTATCATATAAGAAATAAATTTGTTTTATAAATTCATACATCTAGTACAGTAGTTTTATAAAAAAAAAAAAACTTCATAATTGATGATCCTGGTTTATAGAAATCATTAAGTACATCAATTTCGATTTTTTTTTAAGAATCAGCTGTAAATTATTTAATGATGTTCAATTACTAGATTTAAATTATTCAATTGCCTACCTGAACTACAAGCAGAAGCAACATGTCCATTACCATCAATGCAAACGGCACCTACGGTATCTAGAAGCTGATCACGTTGATGGTTTTCTAAAATTTTACTATATTTATTAAATTGCTTAAAAGCTTTTTTGCTAATAAGATCCTTGTGTTTTACAGTTTTCAAGCCGATCATCCTTGCATAATCTAATCCGCCTTGTCCAACTAGTAGTGAAGGAGGTATAAGACCTAATGGTAAAGCTTCAGATTGTGTTACGCATAGTTGATAAGCTAGTTCAATGGGGTTTTTTACTTTTTTTATAGCTCCACAAGCTCCATAGTTTAGTGTTTTACCGTCCATTATAGACGCGTCATTTTCAACAAGTCCGGCCGACGTTAAGTTGGAGCCGTAGCCACAATTTGTAAGAGGATCATCTTCTAAAACTAAAATAATTTGAGCTCAGTAACACATGATAATTTTAAATCAAATCGAGAAAAATTAGTAATTAGTTCCTTACTGGAAAAACTAACCCATTACTGCAGCCTTGACTGCTTCTAATGATGAACCACCTTCTGCAAGGATTTGAATGGCTTTTTCGCAAGCCTTATTACACAATTTTTTATAGTTTTTGTACAGCTGGTTACTGTGGATGCCGGCTCCTAGAATATATGTAAATATATTTAGCTTTTAATCATTTAAAACCTTTAAAACTTACCACAATGTACTGCTACAACGCCCACCATTTTAAACTCACTTGTGGTTTGAATATAATTTATAATATTGTATTATTTATTTTTTAAGATACACAACTTCAATCAAACATATATTTTTTTTATTTATAAGCTCCAAAAGCTCCATAGATTAAACCTATATAAACAAATTTCCTAACCAAATTATTTCTTCTTTTTTTTCGTTAACCTGAGGTCTTTCAGAACTATTATTTGCAATTTTTAAATTTTATTTAGTTAAGATATATTTACGATGCAAACAGTAGAATATTTATTAATATGTTTATTACAATTAAAGCAACTCGTATAAAATTTCTTGTAATTATAAAAAATAGTGGTTATTATACCTACTTAGTGAAAGGTAACTTCTGAAAGTTTCCTGTAATATTTTCTCAAAAATTACTTACTAACTAAAGAGATGGCAGCAGCTTAGCAGTTTCTAGAATAAAATTTAGAAATTTAGTCATCCAACTAGGTATATCTGTTTGAATGAAATTTATTCGTTATTATGTACATTACATCGAATTTCCAACTATTGATAGAGATCCGTTGGTAACTGTAAGTATCCTATAATTATTTTACAATCCAATAATTAACAATTTGAGGTTTAGCCATAGATATGAAGAGCCGGTTTTCATTGGTTTTCATAGTAGTCTTTTTGAATAATGAATAATATACTAGCTAGGTGTAAGTGGGGGTACCCAGCTAGCACAAAAACATCCCATCTACGTTAATGAGCTGCAATTATAGGCTCTTTAAGCTCGCATGCAATGTACTTTTAATTTAACCCTAATATCGCTGCAACCGCCGAATGTCCGCAACGGCAAGACTTTTATAGCATATCTCACAGAGGTTGCAAAGTGAAGTTCGGAAAACCTACCTAGCCCTTTTACAGTACTTACCCCGAAATGTGCTCTGAAACGTTCTATAGATGTTTACAATGTGAATTACTTTTACAGCATTATGCAGAGTGTGCCCATGGATGGACTTAACTATTCTTGTGAAAATATTTATTTTAAATTAAAAAATCTGATGTGTCCAACACATGACTTTCCTATCTAGTTATTATAGGCTTTTTCCGGTTATTTTGTACAACCTATTGCAGCATCTCTATAAATGTTTAGAGGATAAACTAAATATATACATTGTCCACATACATCTACCTCGAAACATTTTTCTATAGATATTTCATTGAAAACGAAAATACTGAAAAATTTAAATTTAGCACTTTTCCATTACGGTCCATTTTAGAAAAATCATGTATAAACAAAAATTATAGAGATCGATATCGCAAACAACTTTTAGTTCAACAATTTTCATAAAAATCAGAATTTTGCACATTTTGTCAAATTTCTCGAATACGGACTATTTCAGGAAATGTTGACATAAAGCAAAAATTATAGATAATAATATTAGAAGTAACTTTTATTTGAACAATTTTCTTCTCCAAACATAAATAACAGATATATTCCATAAAATATAAAAACGGCCTCCCATAAAGTACCCCCCACAGTTGTTCCGACTTTGTCCAAAATCTGATCATTTCACGTCAGGCCGAAATAAACCTTAAGTTTAAAATTAAATGTTTTTTTCTTTATCCGTTTTTGAGTTTTCTTCAAAATTCAAAATTTACACAATTTCTCAAATATCTCGAATACGGTCCATTTTAGAGAAATTATGTATAGAATAAAAATTATAGAGAATTATATTACGAACAACTTTTATTTGAACAATTTTTATAAAAAATAATTTTTTTTACATTTTGTCAAATTTCTCGAATACGGACCATTTTAGGAAAATTATAGATAATTATATTAGAAGTAACTTTTATTTGAAGAATTTTCTTCTCCAAACGTAAATAACAGATATATTCCATAAAATATAAAAATGACCACCTATAAAGTACCCCCCAGATGTTCCGACTCTGCGCAAAATCTAATCAGCTCATTGGACGCTGAAAAAAAGCTTAAGTTTAAAATTTGGTGTTTTTCTGTGTATCGGTTCAGGAGTTATGCGCACGCAAGCACGCACGCACGCACGAACGCACGCACGCACGCACGCACGCACGCACGCACGCACGCACGCACGCACGCACGCACGCACGCACGCACGCACGCACGCACGCACGCACGCACGCACGCACGCACGCACGCACGCACGCACGCACGCACGCACGCACGCACGCACGCACGCACGCACGCACGCACGCACGCACGCACGCACGCACGCACGCACGCACGCACGCACGCACGCACGCACGCACGCACGCACGCACGCACGCACGCACGCACGCACGCACGCACGCACGCACGCACGCACGCACGCACGCACGCACGCACGCACGCACGCACGCACGCACGCACGCACGCACGCACGCACGCACGCACGCACGCACGCACGCACGCACGCACGCACGCACGCACGCACGCACGCACGCACGCACGCACGCACGCACGCACGCACGCACGCACGCACGCACGCACGCACGCACGCACGCACGCACGCACGCACGCACGCACGCACGCACGCACGCACGCACGCACGCACGCACGCACGCACGCACGCACGCACGCACGCACGCACGCACGCACGCACGCACGCACGCACGCACGCACGCACGCACGCACGCACGCACGCACGCACGCACGCACGAACGCACAAAAGCGGGTTGCAATGTGCACTGCTATATTGCCTTTCCTAGTGCCCACGAAATAGGGCGTTCTAGCCCAAATGTGTTTTAAAATAAAATTTCAGCGTTTTATTCTTATATAATATATAATTACTTAATTGTAATTTTGTTGGGTTTACTTGCTGTGCAATATTCTTTATCGCAACAAAACGCGAGTTATTTAATGTTTTGAACTGTCAAAATACAATGATCACAGCCTCCTACGATTGATGCTTGCTGACGCTGGTTATGAATTTCATACCATTTTAAAGCGCTCATAACGCATGTTAATAAAAACGCAGAAAAACAATTTTCTACCACTTGTAGTTATTCAAAACTTACGTAAAATTGAAGAATATACTATTTTCTATTTTCAAATGGTATTCCCATGCAACTACAATGAGTAGAAATAAGCAATTTGAAGGCCTAAATAATTGCAGCGAAACATTTTTTTACGTCGGGCCGCTTGACAACTTCAAAACTGAAATTATATTCGAGGTTAGGGTCTCACTTAGTTACCATGACAACTCAACAATCAAGGCGACAACACCTTTTATGTTTCACTGGTGACTTGGAGAAAATAATTTGCATTGTTGAGAAACGAAAAATAAATTTTAAAAATATTTAATTTTCAACCATAATTCGGCGTGGAATTTTCTTACCGAATACCACGCGAGGTCAAATTAATATCAGGAAATTTTTTCTCGCTCATGAATATTTTTAGAAAATTTCCCTCGTCTACGACTCGGAAAATTTTCAAAATATTCATGAGCTCGAAAAAATTTCCGGAAATAATTTGACCTCTAGTGGTATTACTAGTGAAAATCACTAAATTTTTAATATTTTAAAATTTGTTGCAATCTCTTTTGGCAGTAATTGCAATGTATTAATTATGGTTTGTTTATTTTAGTAATAAATGAGAAATAAGTTACCAAATTGTATGATATGTTTGTCAAATTGGACATTCTAATTTCACAGTAACATTCAACATTAGTTTTAATTAACAGAATAAACTATTAATTATTATCTGTAAAATTATATTTATATAAAATGTTAATTTAAATATGTAAAAATCTTAATGACAAAAAACACTAAAGATTCTAATTTCATAAACCGGTTCTGTAAATGATTTGTCTACACCTAAGTGCTCAAAATTGATACAAGATAGATACATATGGATAAGCAATCTATGTAATTATGTATATTGTTGGGTGTGAGACACGAAGTGTGCTCTGTGGAAATTTATAAAATTTCTTTACTACCGAATCAAATCCAGGTTTCCAAAGCGATATGTTTGTACATCCACGGATGCAACAAGTTTTTTCGATATTACGAAAATAATTCGACTTTATTTAATTAATAATTACTAAACAATAAATGCCGTATAAAACATTAATAAATCTCCCCCAAAAAGTGCACATTTTTGTCACCAGTTGGCGTTAAAGTCATGACGCATGGTTTCTATAGGTTGAATATATTTATTGCATATCTGGATTCCGTTACGTCGCTTACATAACACTTTTCCGAAGACTCTGTTCATTTTTCTTTAAGCCTGTTACATCCCAAAAACATAAAAAATACTTTTTCTACACCCGTATTATAATAATGCACTTATATGCCCATAATCCGTTTCATAATGATACCCATTATGATACAGATTTTTCATTATGATACAGATTTTTAATCAATAGAAACCTACAATTTTTCAATCAAGCATGATGTTTGACGTTTGTCCTAAATTCCTATGTAATTGTTTTAGTTGTCAAAACGTATTAAATTTTCGTAGATAGCTAAACTTCGATAATTATAATATTAAAATGTCTGATATCAGCGATATAGAAGACTCCTCCACACATATCGGAGAAAGGAGAAAATGCAGTACAAAATATTTTGCCCCAAAAATCTGTGGTAATACCAATACCCAAGGTAATACCATTAATTACAATTTTGTAGAATTTTTTATAGAAATACGAGTAATTACTGTTATTGTGTTCAATGCCAATATAAATAGAATATTTATAGGTCTTGATTATTTATCGGGTGTAGAAAAAATAGCGTATGCAACTCTCATGTAATGGTTATTAAAACACTCGCATAAACCATACGAAACTCGCCTTTGGCTCGTTTCGTATCCCGGTTCACGTGTATTAATAACCATCATTACATGATCGTTGCATAATATACTATTTTCGACTACCGATTAGAAAATGAAAGTAGTGGAAAAATTTGGAATCGACAATTTTGAAGCTGAATACCAAACTGGAGTACGAAAGAGCTTTTTGTACACAATTAGTCCTCCATTAATGATATAGTGTCCAAACATTGTGAATTTTGTCCAGACATACAAAGTGGTTTAAAAATTATTTATGGCTCTTCCTCCAACGACAGAGTTAGTCGAAAGAACGTTTAGCACGCTAAGGCAGTGTTGCCACTAGCCGATGAAGAAATTATCGTGCAGTGCTGCCAAAATTATCGATTTTTCTTGAAAA